TATATATATATATATATATATATATATATTAGAGTGCACGTTTCAATGATATCCATCTTTTAAAGCTTCTTGCCATATACATGAACATGATACATGTATAATTGTATAAATTGAAAATATTCTATACGTATTAAATTTCACATTTTTATGTTTTAATTTATACTTAAAGATGATAACAAAACACTGATGAAAAATGGTTTCAAAGTGCAGCTAATGGCTGAGATGATTGGTATTTCCAGTATCAGCCTTGAAGTTTTTACATTGTGTAGTACATGCACGTGTACATGACATGTGAGTGAGTGTTACTACATTGTGTTTATCTGTATCACTGTGACAACAGGTCCCAACCCTTGGATCCCAGGAGGGAGCCTTTGAGAATGTGAGGATGAACTACAACGGAGACCAGGGCCAGACCATCAGGCAGCTCATCAGTGCCCAGATGCTGCGCCGTGTCGCCATGTGCTGTCTCACATCCTCACAGGGCAGACGCCAGCACCTGGCAGTCAGTCACGAGAAGGGAAAGGTAACAAAACTATACAGTCATGTGTTATCAACACTGTACAGTCATGTGTTATCAACACTGTACAGTCATGTGTTATCAACACTGTACAGTCATGTGATATCAACACTGTTCAGTCATGTGTTATCAACACTGTACAGTCATGTGTTATCAACACTGTACAGTCATGTGTTATCAACACTGTACAGTCATGTGTTATCAACACTGTACAGTCATGTGTTATCAACACTGTACAGTCATGTGTTATCAACACTGTACAGCCATGTGTTATCAACACTTTACAGTCATGTGTTATCAACACTGTACAGTCATGTGTTATCAACACTGTACAGTCATGTGTTATCAACACTGTACAGTCATGTGTTATCAACACTGTACAGTCATGTGTTATCAACACTGTACAGTCATGTGTTATCAACACTGTACAGTCATGTGTTATCAACACTGAATGACTCATTATACACAATCTTAAAGTTTGCACATTTAATTGCAGGAGTTGTTTAAAGGTTTGCTTAGAATTAACAAGCAATTATGAGAATGCTTCACTTGTGTTTACTGATATATCTGATTGTATTGTTGCTTTCCCCAATGCAAATGCAATGTACATCACAGTTATACATGTAACAGTATCATACCTTGCCATATATTATAAAAATTTTACACAATCATCACTCATTATGTACATCAGGACTACTGGAAGAGTCCGTTGTTGAAAAGGAGAAAGACAGAAATAAGGCAAAGTAGTGTTAGATTTTGTAGACTAGTGGAGGTAAATTGAAAGAATGTTTTTGTTCCCCTGTAGATCACACTCCTGCAGCTGTCTGCTCTGCTGAAGCAGGCTGATTCCAGCAAGAGAAAACTCACCCTCACGGTAACATTCACATTCACATGGTCAAAAATGTTCCCAACTTGTCAGGCTTTTGATAATTGTGTACGGAACAATGTATGTCTTGTTGTTCACAAAGTTGGTGACTTTATTAGAGTTTCTTTTCTATCATTCTGTGTTTTGATACCTCAAATATATACATTGAATGAAATTGTACATTCAATCATAATTATACAATTAGAATTGTTATGATTATAGTATACAGTTTATGTGCAGCATTTACACTCAAGCTGACCAACTCATTCACACACTACTGTTGAAGCAATGAGCAAAGAATTAGCACAAAAAAGTGTCTTATTCCTGTCCTGTATTTTGCAGAGGCTGTCGTCTGCTCCGATGCCATTTACAGTCATCTCAATAACAGGCAACCAGTGTAATGAAGACTTCCTGGCAGTCTGTGGGCTGAAGGTATGGCAGCTTCCTAATACTCTAAGGCCACACCAATTTAATTTGTTGGTTCTCGGATTTTTTCTTAAAGAATATGAAGTGACAGAGCGAATAAAATAGAAAATAAAAACATGTCTGGGCATCCAATCCTATAGGCCCAAAATGCTACGATAGGAGCCATGCAGTCAACACAAAATTTGGGTTAATATTTAAACAAAGAATTATACCTGCACACTCCCTATTTGGGTATATCATTTACCTTATGCAGTATTTCCTATGCTTATCGCTAGGTGGCGCACGTGTACAAAGCTCTAATCGCAAAGCATCACGGGATATCATGACGTAATGACATTGTTCGCCGCCATTTTCCTTGTGCGTTCGCAGAGGGGTGCACGTTCGTTTCCCTACTCCTTATTTTTTCGGATTTTCTTTCGGCGTTAGGCCCAAAAAGAAGGATAAAACGAAGTCTTCTGCCCACGAGGGCGATTCAGGTAGCCTTTCGGAGGACCAGACGGGGCGTAACGGCAAGAGAAGCGGCCTGTTTCCCAACGCTAGTCAGGAAAAATTCCTGGCCGTGGAAAAGACAGGCGTGTCTGTACAAGCCTCCGGACAGGAGGAAGAGGAGTCGGGTGAACGAAAAGTCCCCGCTCCTACAGCTGGAGGTTCGGAGGAAAAAGAGAAGAACTCCAACCTCATTCCGCCGCTTGGGAGCGAAATGCCCCTTCGGCGTTGGCACCGGGAACATCCGCCGCTTGGGAGCGAAATGCCCCTTCGGCGTTGGCACCGGGAACATCGGTCAAGGAAGGAGACGGCGCGGAGCTGCCGCCGCCCCGGCCGAAATTTCCTCCGGACTCGGAGGAGTTGGGCTCCCCGACCGTGCCGAAGCTTGGTGGGGAATAGTCTCCTCCACCCCCACCTCCATCAGAAACACCCTTCCCGCCTGGATTCGACGCTGCCTCTTTTCTTCAGTGGATCAGTTCCAGCTTGGGACTTCCTCAGGCGTCCAGTTTATCCCGTCAACCTCGGGACGTTGACGGGGCGGTAGCGTCGACCAGCCGAGCCGGTGTAGTCGGTTCCGGCGAGAGCATCCAGGTTCTGAAGTGGAAGAGTGTTCGGAGGAGGGAAAAATCACCTTTTCTGACTCTGACGAAGGTAACTCCTTGTCGTTTGATAATCCCTACGATAATAACTTCAAATTAGTATTTGGAGGAACCGGTGGGAAAATCGGTCTTGAAGACATGTTTCATATCTTGTTTCATGTCCTTGCCACACATTTCACGTCTATACTGAGTCATAGTAGAGGAAGCTGATCCCAAAAAACACCAAAGACGATTCTATCGCTTTGCAAACAGCATCGGGTTTAGAGGATGGTCCGAACCCTTAGTGAAGAGAGGAAGGAAAACTTTTCCCACTCCACCTAATGTTGAATTAGCACTTCGGGCGCCGATTCTAGACCCAGTAGTGGCTAATATGATCAAGCATGATACCGTAAACACTGATAAGAATTTTAGTGATTGCCAGGATAAGATGCTCATGGCTGCTAACCTTTTAGTAGAGTTGTTGGCAGCAGTTAAACTAAAAAAAAATTTAGTGAGTAAAGTCCTCGCTCAAAAATGTAGCGACCTGCTCGGGAACTTCAGATTCTTCCCCTTCTTAATTTGGAGACACCTTTTTGGAGAAGGTTAATGCAGCCGATTAGGCTAGACGCACTTTGAGTAAGGCTTATAAGTCAGCCCCTTCGAGCACTTCTAGGGCTAGGGACAGGTTTCAGTCCAACCGTTCAAAGTTTAACTATAGCTACAACAAGTACTCCTCAAACTCAAAGGGTTACATTTTTCGTCCCTACAACAACAACAATGCTAGACCATGGTCAAATGCCGGGGGTAAGAAAACCTCGGGGTTTTGTTCAGCGCAGGGCACAAAAGGCCCAAACAAACAGTAGCTCTTCCTCGTCATCAGACTCTGCTCTGTTCTCCGGTTCAACACGCAGGGCGAACAGCTTTTTTCATGGAAAACGGGGAGTCCACTCCGGTTCAGTTCGTCCAGCCGGTCACAAATATATCTGGGGAGGACAGAGCAGAGGTTGTAGACGACGAAGTGCACAGTATGTTGGAGAAAGGTGCAGGGGTCCAAATCGAACCCTGCGAGAGCTAATATGTTCTACGATTTTTCTAGTCCCGAAAGCTCGGGGAGGCTGGAGACCGGTTATA